TTCTTCAGTTTAAAGAACTCCCTTTAACACTTCTTGCAAGGCAAGTCTAGTAGTGATAAACTGTCTCAGTTCCTGTTTGTCTGAGAAAGTCTTTATCACCCCTTCATTTTTGAAAGAAAAGATTTCTGGGTATAGTATTCTTGGTTGACAGGGTTGGTTTATTCAGGATTTTTAATATAACATCCCACCTCCTTCTGGCCTACAAAGTTTCTGCTGAAAAATCTGCTGATAATCTAAGGGAGAGTTCTCTTGTGTGTAACAATTCACTATTTCCTCACTGTTTTTAAAACTTTCTCTGTCTTTTTGCATGTATGGCAGGGGGAGGGTGGTGAGTATTCCAGTTTCTTCCATCCTATGGCGAAGGTGAGTGCCGGTATTTATCTCTCCCTCTCTCTGCACTAAGCTGGAGAGATAATCTGTGACAAATGCCTGTATTTGTGTTCAAACTGCACCCTCTGATCCTGGAGAGATAGCTGCTTGATATGGTTAGAATCTGTGACCCCATCCAAATCTCATGTCAAGCTGTAATCCGCAATGTTGGAGGTGGGCCTGGTGAGAGGTGATTGGATCGTGGGGGTAGATCCTTCATGAATGGTTTAACACCATCTCTTTGGTGCTATTCTCATGATAGTGAGTGAGTTATCATGAGATGTGGTTGTTTAAAAGTATATAGTACCTCCCCTACTCCGCTCCTACTCTAGTCATGTGAAGATGCCTGCTCTGGCTTTGTCTTCTGCCATGAGTAAAAGTTCCCTGAGCCCTCCTCAGAAGCAGATGCTGCTATGCTTCTTGTATAGCCCATAGAACCATGAGCCAATTAAACCTCTTTTCTTTATAAATTATGCAGTCTTGAGTATTTCTTTACAGCAATGATAGAATGGACTAATACATGCTGAAAGTGGGCCCGTTGTATGCCCATGTCTTTGTTTTCTGTAGTCCCAGGCCACTTAGGAATGCAAAGTCTCATTGGGAATGCAAAGCCCCATTAGTCCCCAAAGCTAGATTGACAAGGAGACAGTCCCTTGGATGGAAACTATAGAAGTTTTTGTAGTCAGTACATGGACAAACTTCTTCCAGGAAGAATGGGTCAACTGGATTTATCACTGGGATGAACCAAAGGAAAGGGTCAGAAAGTGCTTAGCTCAAGCTCAGGATGACAGGGAGCTACTCTTTCTCCCCTTAGGTCCTCAATGCAAATTCATTAAAAGCAAGGTCATCAAGTAGCCACCAAAAGAGTAAGCAGGAAACCCCTTGCAGAGAGAAAATAGGAGCTGAGCATTCTAGTCCCTTTTCTGCACTGCTCCCAGGAGATGTAGCCCCTGGAAGTGTTATTATGCCCATTTAAAACCACCTTTTTGCCTGGGTGCAATGGCTCACACCTGCAATCCCAGCACTTTGGGAGGCTGAAGTGGGTGGATCACTTGAGGTCAGGAGTTCAAGACCATCCTGGCCAACATGGTGAAACGTTGTCTCTACTAAAAATACAAAATATTAGCCGGACATCGTGGTGCATGCCTGTAGTCCCAGCTACCCAGGAGGCTGAGACAGGAGAGCCGCTTGAACCCAGGAGGTGAAGGTTGCAGTGAGCCAAGATTATGCCACTGTGCTCCAGCCTGGGTGGCAGAGCGAGACTCTGTCAAAAAAAAAAAAAAAAAAAAAAAAACTTTGTATGCGATCTGGGAAGACTTGCATATGCATAGTCCCTTCAACTCTTAGAGCTAGGAGGTTTCAGTTCAGGTGGTAGCTGCTATAAAAGTTGGGCCACTCAATGCATGGCATAAACCCCTCACAGGGAGAAACAGGGAACAGCATTTTTAATGTACTTTTCTGTACTGCTCGAAGATTTTGAGGCCCCCAGAAGTACATGTGCACCTGTATAAATCTACCATTTTTGTCTGTGGTCTAGAGAGATTCTCATATGCCTAGTCCTCTCTGCTCCTAGAGCTAGGAGTTTTAGAGTGCAATCCTTCCAGTAGAAGCTGCAAAAGTTGAGGCATTCTACATGTGGACAAACTCTCTTCAAGAAGGAGTATAGACCTGGAGTTATCACTGGGGTGAGCCAGGGAAAAAGGCTTGGGAAGTGCCAATCTGCTTCTGAGGCTACCAGCAGGCTATTTGCCTCTTTAACTCCCCAATGCAAGTTAATTAATGCAAGTTAATTAGAAGCCCAGGCACCAAGTAGCCCCTAGAAGAGTGTCATAAACCCCTCCCAGAGAAAAACAAGAAGCTGCATTTTTTCAGCCCTTCTCTGCACTGCCTCCAGAGAGTGAGGCCCCTGGAAGTTCTTGTTCTGTAGCATAAAACCACTGCTTTTTTCCTGTAGGTCACAAAGACTTACGTATTCCTAATCCCCTCCACTTCCAGAGTTGATTAATTGAGCCGAACCATGGGGAATTTCGGAGATAAAGTACTATATGTGAGACCCAAACCCTCCTCTCTACAGGGAGAAGTTGTGTATTAGGGATTCCTTTCCTGGTTGTATGGCAGTGTCCAAGGTGAAGTTCATGCCTGAGTGCACCTCAGCTTTTCCCACTCATTTGATGCAGATGTTTTTTCTCAGTTGCCCAGTGTGTAGAACTCTCTCGATTGGTTTCTGACTTTTTTCAGAGAGAATCAATCACTGAATAGTTTGTTCAGTTTGTTTCTTTGAGGGTGAAGGGAGAGTCATGAGTCTCCTATTTCAACATGTTGCTGATATCATCTAAGGGTAAGCCTTTAGGCTTGGTAACAATAACTTCTGGATAGGAGACTTCCCTTGATTCTTTCACAGCATGAACATTCTAACTATTTTTGTGCCAACATGCATTTCATGGTGGAAGAAGTCACAATCACCAAATGCAACTTTACATTTCAAATAATCCTGTAGTTCATGAATTAGGCATTCTGAGTTTGGAATAATGCAGACTGTTAACAGAAGTAGGGGAGGGACAAACATTGCTGGTGACGACATTGGTATAGAACCACCTGTGAGCATCAAATGCAGCCAAAGTACAGAAACAAGGTAGGGATGGATCAGTGTCATGTTGCATACATGAGATGGCAGTATCCTTCTAGAGTCTTCCCATTTACATTCACTTCAAAAAGCAACACAGCCTAGGAGATATAAAGAGAACAAACAATGCAAAAGCAGTGTCAACCATAAGACTATGTGTTTGCTCTCAAACACAACAGGCCTCATCTCTGATTCTTTTCAGGCTAGAACTTGACATTTTGGAGATCCAGATTTTGGAAAAATTTGCCTTTGCTTCTTCCTCTGCCTCCAAGACATTCATGTTCTTCTAAGAGTCCTCACTACCTTACTTTACACAATATGAGAGCACATAGATGTTTTCATAGAAGAGAGAGCACACAGTCATAACCAAATGGGCACTCCTTTCAGCTTTGAGTTCCCTGGGGCACTGTGAGTTGTCCAGAGAGCTCTCCAAAACACAAGTCAGGGCACCAGTGATTAGAAGAAAGCAGAGCAACTGCTTCCAGTAAAATTCATAGTCTATGATGCTCACGCCAGTGACATGGAATAGGTCAACCTGACACCCATGGCATGTCCACATGGTACAGTGCACTGAACTTGAATGGGGGAGGTTATTCTCTATATGGTCCCTGACAGGTAAATTTGCCTCTCTTAATAGTGTCTCCTAGCAGTGTTTGGAGATGGCCTGAGATGACGCTTGCTAAGGGAGGCTATCTGAGGAAGCACCAAATAAGATCTCTTAGAGACCATGCCCTTATAGCCCACCTACCTCTGATGATGTCTATGTTGGTGGTTGATGATGATCTCTTTTCTAAGACTCCCTTGTCCAAGAAAAGCTCTTGAGAAAGGTGAAGACAAACCTGGGATACCCAGAGCCTGGTGATGCCTCAGAGGTGGCTCACAGCCTCTGGTCTGATGTGGGAAGTTTTCTTCTCTGATGTCTCTTTCATTGAACAGCCCAGCAAGAAGCACTAGATTGGAGCATAACACTGCACACCTGCCTCTGGGCATGGCCTGTCCTCCTGAAACTTCTTCACATTTGACTCCATGTTCTGATTAGCCACATGTGACCCAACCCTGGATCTAGCCCCAGGATCACTTCAGAGGAGAAGCGATTGCAGAGTAAGGGAGAGTCTGTACCACAGTGGTTAATTTCCACTAACTCACAGTAGGATGACAGGCAAGATCCACTGCCACTCTGTATCAATTACTCCTTAGCAACAGCAGCATGAACCACCTGTTTCCCACCCTTTGGTGTTCCTCTTGATCAAAAGAAAAGAGAATGAGCCCCTAAGGAAGAGGGCTTGGGAAAGATAGGGACTATCCAGTTAATGGAAAGTGCTGGAGTGTTCAATCCTGAGACCCAAATTGGGTCCTATTAGAGGAGTAGCCATGTTGGTGGGTGCAGGATAGGAGGAAGTTTGGGGTTGGTGCAGGCACTCACTCTCACTAGGATGCCTCTGGTCTCAGGTAATGGAGAGAACTGAGCAAAAAGTGAGCCCAGAGGAAACATTCTCTTCCGGCCACATCATATCCTCTCACTCTCTTATGGCCTTAGGCATGTCGCTGGCCTTCCTGGGACTCATTATCCTCATTGTAAAGAAAGAGCAATCTGAAGCTCAGAAAGAGATTGGGGAGCATCAGGTGGGGGTGCACCAAGGCTAAGGAGACCAAAGCAGTGCTTGGAGGCCTCCCACTCTTCACCTCGGGTTCTAACTACCACCCATCTCATGCTTAATGGGTCCTTCTGACTCCAGGGCGAGAAATGTTCTTAGCATCAGGAGATGCTGCACATGAGCAGTTCCTCCCCCTGGGATTACTGGTTCAGTGAGCAAAACAGCAAGGGGCTGGGCCTCCTGAGGGCTGGCAGGGATACATGGGCCAAAGAGGAAGAGGGAGGGTAGAGAAGCATAACCAGGGAGAGAAATTGAAGACCAGGACACAAGACAAGCAGGGCACCTGTGGGGGCTACAGTGAGCTCTCAATGATCACCTGTAGTGGCAGCAAAAGAGGCAGGATCCCTGGGCATTTGTTCTGGTTTATTTGACAGGGACAGGGAGTTCAGACAGCAGGGAGGGTGACATTCCTGTTGACGTTCTTGTGCTAATGGTTTGATGTCGTTGCGCTTCGGATGTGGGCACAGTCTCGGATGGAAGGGTTCAGGGAGCAGGATGCACATCCCAGCCCACTCTCCCACTCACAGGATGCTCATGCAAACGTTCCCACAGAAGGCTGAACAGCATATGTTATTTGCTTCACACTTTTGGAAATATGAACAGTGGTGGATGCATAGATCTATGCTGGGTCGCTTCTCACAGATCTTGATTCCTGAAATGGTGCAGAAGCAGGGTCAATGAAACCATGCACCTACAGAGCACCCTTCTCAAGCTTGAAGTTCCTCCATGGCCCCAGAACCAAGGCCCCCCTGACCACTACAACTCTCCTGGATTCTTCAGGGAACTTCCTTCTGGCCCATCACCAATCCTAGTGTTTGGCAGTATCTTAAATTCTGTCTCCCTGCTCTGCATCTCACCCCAGTAGACCTCAATGCCTGGGTTTCCTGGACCCTCACCATACACTTGCATTCAGAACTCTGTCTCCCCATTAATCATGGTGAAGTCACTCCCATAGGAGTCACCTTAGTGAAGTTGCCCCCATAGAATCTACAATTTGACCCTGAGAGCTCAAAGAAGCCTGAGACATTTCCAAGCCCTCCCCTATTCTCCAGAATTTGCAGAGCCCAGACAAGAAGATGAACTTGCCTTTCATCCCTCCCTTTCCTCTCCTCACTGTCACTGTCCCTAGTGTCCCTTCCCACCACCACTCTCCTGGCTGCTTTGATGATACACTTAACTTTGCCCTGTATATCCCAACTTTTCATTGCTCTATGTCCTTTTTACCCTACACTTACACCCATTTCTACACCTACACCTACCCTCATAACCACTTCTAGATGTTTACTCCTCACAAGTGTGCATAAATCAAAGAATAATTGTCTTGCTTTCCCATTGGATTCTCAGTCCTGGTGCACCTTTCACTATGGGATGTACCATTTGTCTCTAAGTATTGGGAGCAAACAACAAAAGATGTAGGTTCCCCCTTCATTCCCATTACTAATCCCAAGGCCAGGAAAAGGGGTTGAAGGGCCATGGTTTGGTACAGTCCAGAGTCTGCACAGCATTGTGGCCAGAGCTGGATATGCAGAAAGGTTCCAACTTCTAGGTCCTACTCAGACTGGACACATCTCCTCCGTTCCCCCTACCCAACTCCCCCTCACCCATCCAGCAGCCCATCACCTACTCTGCATCCTCATCTTGTCATAGTATCCTCCCTGGGCCTGAAGCAGCAGCACACAGAGAACCAGGACAGGCAGCAGAGTCTGGGGTGCCATGACTCTGACCGGAACGTGAGCCCTAAGTTTGGCCAGGCAGTCACAGACTTCCCTGCAGAGCTGCCTGTGGAGAGGGAAGGAAAGAAAGAAGGAATGATCTTCAGCTCCTCGCTGGCTCCACTAGCCAAGTCAAGGCAGAGCAAGAGTCCTTGCTTCCTGCCTTTGCCTTCTCCTAGCCCTGTCCTTCTCCATACAGGATAGGGCTTCTGCAGGAATGATGCCTCTTCTCACATAACCAGTCCTGTGTTCTTGCTAACAGAGTTTTTCTTTTCTGAAAGGTACTATTTATTTCTGCTTTCTAGTTACAAAATGCTTTACAGAAAAAAAGAAAAGAAAAAATAGCATTTTTTAAAAGGTGCTTAGAATTAACCCATATTTTATTACATTCTCTTTTAGTTCTTCTGTAAACCATCTTTTATTTTCTCATTTTTGAATCAGCTATCTTTTGTTACCTACCTTCTGCCACCTTTATTTAGTCATGCAAATATTTACAATGTCATTATTTCTCAAAAAGAAGTGACATAAGTTTTTTTTTGGGGGGGTGAGGGTAGCTACAGATAGACACTCCAATTTCCATAGTTGTGAAGGCAGAAATCATATCATGAGCCCCTTTAAGAGGTGACTATTTGCATATAATGGATGTGTTCATTATAAATTCCTTTTTTTTCTTTTAGACAGAGTCTCACTCCACACCAGGCTGGAGTGCAGTGGCGTGATCTTGGCTCACTGAAACCTCCACCTTCTGAGTTCAAGCAATTCGCACCTCAGCCTCCTGAGTAGCTGGGATTACAGGCATGTGCCATCACACCCAGATAATTTTTGTATTTTTAGTAGAGATGGGTTTCCGCCATGTTGGTCAGGCTCATCTCGAGCTCCTGATCTCAATTGATCCACCCATCTCAACCTCCCAAAGTGTTGGGATTACAGGCATGAGCCACCACACTCGGCCTAATTATAAATTATTCTTAACAATTCATTACACAAAACCCTATATGATTGAGCTATATTTTTAATATTATTTTAAGTTCTGGGGTAAATGTGCAGGATGTGCAGGTTTGTTGCATGTGCCATGGGGGTTTGCTGCACCTATCAACCCATCACCCAGGTATCAAGCCCAGCATGCGTTAGCTATTTATCCTGATGCTCTCCCTCCGTTGACAGGCCCCAGGGTGTGTTGTTTCCCTCCCTGTGTCCATGTGTTCTCATTGTTCAGCTCCCACTTATAAGTGAGAACATGGAGTGTTTGGTTTTCTGTTCCTTCATTAGTTTACTGAGGATAATGGCTTCCAGTTCCAACCATGCCTCTGCAAAGAAAATGATCTCATTCCTTTTTATGGCCACATAGTATTCCATGGTGTATATTTACCACATTTTCTTTATCCAGTCTATCATTGATGGGCATTTGGGTTAATTTCATGTCTTTGCTATTGTGAATAGTGCTGCAATGAACATACGTATGCACGTGTCTTTATAACAGAATGATTCTATTCCTTTGGGTATATACCCAGTAATGGGGTTGCTGGGTCAAATGGTATTTCTGGTTCTAAATCTCTGAGGAATCATCACATTGTCTTCCACAATGGTTGAACTAATTTACATTCCTACCAACAGCGTGAAAGCATTCCTATTTCTCTACAACCTCACCAGCATCTGTAGTTTCTTGACTTTTTAATAACCTCCATTGTGACTGGCATGAGATGGTATCTCATCATGGTTTTGATTTGCATTACTCTGATGTTGAGCTTTTTTTCATGTTTATTGGCTGCATATATGTCTTCTTTTGAGAAGTGTCTGTTCGTGTCCTTTGCCCACTTTTTAATGGGATTGTTTGTTTTTTCTTATAAATTTAAGTTCCTTGTAGACTCAGGATACGAGACCTTTGTCAGGTGGATAGATTGCAAACATTTTCTCCCATTTTGTAGGTTGTCTGTTCACTCTGATGATAGTTTATTTTGCTGTACAGAAGCTCTTTAGTTTAATTAGATCCCATTTGTCAATTTCTGCTTTTGTTGCAATTGCTTTTGGTGATTTTGTCATGAAATCTTTGCCCATGCCTATGTCCTGAATGGTATTGCCCAGATTTTCTTCTAGAGTTTTTATAGTTTGGGGTTTTATATTTAAGCCTTTAATGTATCTTGAGTTAATTTTTGTATAAGGCATAAGGAAGAGACCCAGTTTCAATTTTCTGCATATGGCAAATAGTAGCAAAAAGAGCTGTGATTATTATATTAGAGTCAAACAAAATACACATTGTGTCAAATATTGTTAAAAGAACCAAAATCATGATTATATATTGATAAAGGGGCCAATTCATCAAAAAGATATAAAAATTACAAACATATACACACCAAGCAGTAGAGCTTCAAAATATACGAAGCAAACACTGACAGGATTGAACGGAGACATAGCACTACAGTAATAGTTGGAGAGTTCAATATCCCATCATGGCATAATAAGAAATATATTTGATCTTTGTCCCCAGTTCCTGGCACAAGGTTCCTAAAACTCTTGGAATTTCCTGAGTGATAGGTATGTCTTTTGTTATTCATAAGGAGCCCCTTTTGATTCCACCTGAGTTTCTGCTAATGAGGTTACTTGGAGTGGGGCCCCTAGGTAGCCTCAGGTTGGAGCTGGTCACCAGAAAGATCAAGTGATTAGAGGGTTGGAACTTTTAGACCCACCCACTCTCCTCCAGGAAGTTAAAGAAGGAAGGAGTTGAAGCTCTATAAAAACTCTTAAACAATAAGATTTGATGAGCTTCTGAATTGGTGAACATATCCATGTGCCAGAAGGGTGGCACACCCAACTCACAAGGACAGAAACTCCTATGCTTGGAATCCTTCTGAAGCTCACCCTACTTACTTCATCTGGTTATTCATTTGTATCCTTTATAATAAACTGATAAACTTTAAGTGTTTCCTGAGTTCTGTGAGCTGTTCCAGCAAATTATCAAACTTTCAGATGGGATTGTGGGAGCCCCTGATTTATAGCCAGTAGATCAAAAGTGCAGGAGGCCCAAGACTTGCAACTGGCACCTGAAGTTGGGAGTAGTCTTATGAAATCAGGCCTATAAGCTATGGGGTCTGCACTAACTTCAAGTAGTTAGTGTCAGAATTAAATTAAATTTTGGAACACCCAGTTGGTGTCCAGAGATAGGAGAATTGGTTGTTGGTGTTGGAAAGCATTCCAGGCCCTCTTTCAATAATGAATAGAATACGCAGACAGAAAAATCAATAAGGAAATAGGGTACTAAACAATACTATAAACCTAAGACAGACCTAAGACAAGAAGGGAATGCATGTTCTTCTCAAGCACATATGGAACATTCTCCAGGATAAACTACATGTTAGGCCACAAAACAAGCCTAAATAAATTTTAAAAGATTGAAATTATACAGGCCAGGCACGGTGGCTCACACCTGTAATCCCAGCACCTTGGGAGGCTGAGGCGGGTGGATCACAAGGTCAAGAGATGGAGACCATCCTGGCCAACATGGTGAAATCCTGTCTCTACTAAAAATACAAAAATTAGCCTGGTGTGGTGGCAGACGCCTGTAATCCCAGCTACTGGGGAGGCTGAGGCAGGAGAATCATTTGGAGGCAGCAGAATCACTTGAACTCAGGAGGCAGAGGTTGCAGTGAGCTGAGATCGCGCCACTGCACTCCAGCCTGGTGACAGAGCAAGACTCCGTCTCAAAGAAAAAAAAAAAAGATCGAAATTATACAAACTATCTTCTCCAGCCACAATGGAACAAAGCTGAAATCAATAAGAGAAGGAAAACTGGAAAATTCTCAAAAATGTGAAATTAATACACTCTTTAACAACCAATGAGTCAAAGAATAAATCACAACGGAAATTAGAAAACACTTTGAGTCAGGCATGTTGACTCACACCTGTAATCCCAGCACTTTGAGGGGCTGAGGTGGGTGGATCACTTGAGCCCAGGAATTCAAGACCAGCCTGGGCAACATAACAAGACCCTGTCTCTACAAAAAACTAACTGGGCATGGTGGTATGCACCTGTAGTCCCAATTACTTAGAAAAAAACTTTCGAACGAATGAAAGCAAAAACACAAAACACAATATACAAAAACTTATGAGATGTAGTAAAAGTAGTTCTCAGGGTAGAAAAATCTATAACTGTGAATACTTACATTAAAAAAGAAAGATCTCAGCCAGGCGCAGTGGCTCACGCCTGTAATCCCAGCACTTTGGGAGGCTGAGGCAGGTAGGCCATGAGGTCAGGAGATCGAGACCATCCTGGCTAACATGGTGAAACCCCATCTCTACTAAAAATACAAAAAATTAGCTGGGTGTGGTGGTACGAGCCTTGTAGTCCCAGCTACTCAGGAGTCTGAGGCAGGAGAATCACTTGAATCCAGGAGGCAGAGGTTGCAGTGAGCCGAGATCACGCCACTGCACCCCAGCCTAGGCGACAGAGTGAGATTCTGTCTCAAAAAAAAAAAAAAGATCTCAAATCAACAACCTAACTTTACATCATATGAAACTAGAAAGAGAAGAACAAACTACACCCAAAGCTAGCAGAAGGAAGGAAATAGTAAACATTTGAAAACAGACAAATGAAATAGGAAATACAAAACCAATAAAAAGAATCAACAAGACCAAAACTTGGTTTTTTTAAAATATCAATAAAATTGAAAATCTTTAGCTAGATTGACTAAGAAGAAAAGAGAAAAGACACAAATAACTAATATCAGAAATTAGAGTGGGACATCACCACCAACTTTACAGAACTAAAAAAAATTATAAGAGAATACTATAACAATTTTACACCAACAAATTAGATAACCTGGAGGAAATGGACAAATTCCTAGAAACTCACAAATCACCAAGACTGACTTGAGAAGGAATAGAAAATATTAACAGACCTATAGCAAATAAAGAGATAGAATCAATAATTTTTGAAAAACACACACAACTCTCTTCAACAAAGGAATGCCTAGGGCTAGATGACTTCACTGATAAAATCTATACTAAATTTTTTTTGATTAACACCAATCCTTCTCAAAGTTTTCCAATCTTAATTGATACAG